ATCGCCGTCAGTCGAACACGCGAAGCGGGATCCCCAAGGGCCACCAGGATCTCAGGGGCGTGGCGGCCGAGGTATGCAGGGTGTGCGAGGCGGGTCGGGAGCTCTGTTCCTTCAACCTGACCACCTTAACTTGTCGAGGTCCCCTGACGAGGAGCTCTGTTCCTTCAACCTGACCACCTTAACTTGTCGGGAGCTCTGTTCCTTCAACCTTGCCACCTTAACTTGACCTGTCGAGTGGGCAATCCATGACGGTTACCTGTCGAGGTCCCCTTGAGAGTGCTTCTCGGAGTCCTTTTGGGGCTTCCTTGCGGGCTTCTTGGGTCGTCTGGATGCCGTCTTTGTGGCATTTCCGGACGCTCGACGCAATCTGGGGGCTTTCTAGCGCTCTGAAAACAACGTTCTGCTTTTGAGGAGCCACCTGGAGCCCGGGGCAAGTGCAGGAAACCGTCAGACGCCGAATCCGCAAGTTGGGGTTTGGTGAGGTAGGGTGGGGCGTGGGTGGGTGGGATTCTTCCTGGGAGAATCCCACGCGCCTCGAGAAGCCAAAGGGATCGGCGGAGTTTCTTTATTTCCGTATGCTGTTGTGGTTGCCGTTCACCTCTGAGGGCTTCATTGGAGGCCTCTATGAGAGTGTGCTGGAGGTGTCTTAGGATCTCTTGCCGCATGTTTGACCTCGACGGCCTCACCACAATAGCCCCATGGGGCGACTTCTCGGCAGCAGCCGCGGGAGATGTCAGCAGCAGGCACCGTGCAGCAGGCGCGAAGAGAGCAGCGGGCGACGGAGGCCACGCGCGGCTTGGGGACGGGCCCAGCCAGAGAGGCAAAAAAGCCAGCCGCAAGAGACAGCAGTCTTTGCTGTGACGGCGGCCCTCGAAGTCCAGGGGACCAGCCGGGACGGGGCCAGAAAGAGGGGGCGAACACGGGCCAGGAAGCCCGTGGCCACCGCCGTCGAGGCCTCGCCTCCGCGGCCAAAGCCTCGGGCGGCAGAGACGGCGGGCGCACGCTGCACGGGAGCACGGCCGCTCGAAGCAGCGCTTCGGGGAAGTTCGAGGAAGTTGTCCACCGCAGCAGTGATGTGGCGGCGTCTCTCGTGAGGGTGTATCGGCATAAAGATCTCCACCCTGTGGCCGAATGTCTGGATGGTAAGCCTACACACCTTTCCCCAAGTCGTTCGACCATGGCACCCGCGGAATGACACTTGCACCGAAGCCAAGTGAAAAGCAAGGAACCGTCCGAACATGGAAACGCCAGGACGCGATGTTCGAGGCGTTGAAGCACATTGTCATCTAGCATGAAATCTGTTGGAGCAAGTTCCTGGAAGGGGCTCTTGCGGGGCCCTTTACTGAGCAAACACTGAGCACACCTCCAGATGCCTGGCCATTTCGTACAGGCGTGTGAGACTCTGGGCTTGGCATCGCTCGGACGTGTGCATTTTTTCTCTGCGAGAACCATCGAGGACCATCCTGGACCATCGAGCACAAAAAACACGCACGAAATCGAAACATGCACGGGAAATGGACGTCCGAGCGACGGCAAGTGGGAGGTCTGGGAGGAGCAGGGGAGGGCTCGTGAGACACGTCTAAAGACAAATTGGGCCATAGGGGCAATTGGCAGCTAGGATACAGCAGGCACGAGAAACCGCAACTGAAGCATCAACCTCTAACATGTTGGCAGAATCAGAAGGGTGAAATTGAAGCCCATGCTTGGCTCCGACGTCGGCGTCTCTGTTGCCCCTGCGGGAAAACCCATCACGTTCAGAGGCGTCCACCTGGTCAATGTCAAGGTGAGCCTGGACCTCCACTATCGCCTCAACCAAATCACCTTCAAAACGGTTCGCCTGCATGATCACTCTTGCGTAGCATCTCTTGTCCGAGTACCGCTCAGGGCGAGGCAGCAGGGAATGATAAACAACGTTGGCACAGTCGCTGTAAAATGTCGAGGGGAAGACTATGCATTGGGAAACCACACAATCGGCTGAGTATGCAGCCGCCCGGGGGGTCTGGGGGAAGTCGGCCCACAGTGGCCTTCGCACCTCTCCAGGGCCATCCCACGCAGTACGGGAATGCTCTCGAATGACGTGACGCTGGAGGGACCGAAGCGGTAACCCCACATCTCTCCGTTAACGGACCCCCTGGGACCAACGGGGCTCTGGAGCAGATCAACATGCCAGGCATAAACCAGAGACCCCAAACTGTCCAAAGCAGGACGCGGCAACACGTCGGCTGGCGGGATGAGTGAAAGCTCCTCTGGAATAACGGGCCGCCACGTAGCTGTCGGCCTCAGTACAGTCGGCCCAGATTAGTAGGTCGACCCTGCCAAATCTAGGGTACCCTTGTGTCCTGTGTCTCGCGACCCATGCTTCCTACATTCTTGCGGCAATGTGGCCCTCGGAAGGGTCTTCAGTCCTCTCGCGTGTCCTGTCCAATCGAGTCCGATTGTAGCCCGGGCAGAGCCAGCATCCGAAACAGTCGAGGCAGGGACCAGCCGAGGCCTGAGCTGCACCACCGCCTCCGAGGAGCAGTACGGGCCCTCGTGGCAGGCGTCCTCACGGAGGGTCTCCAGGAGGCCGAGGGGGAATCAATCCAAGATTGATGGGGTATCCACGATCATCGGCCACCGCGATACAGTCGTTCATGACCCACCCTAGAAACACAAGCGCGAGACGGAGCACCGAGAGAGGACCACGAACCGTGGGCCAAGCAAAAAAGAGGTTGAGCAAAGACAGCTTGCCAACTGGAGAAAGGATGAACTCGAGCCTGCGCCAACCGAGCTTCGTTGCTCCACCTCAACAGAGGAGCACGTGCTGCTCTCCATTACGGGTCATCCAGTAAAGTGCTGACTGGCGTGAGGGACCTGCCCTTGGAGGAGGGCCTGACGGTAGAGAAGATTTGACGTCTCATTGTCAGCAGAGTTTGGTTGTTGATTCCGAGGATGCCCGCGCCAGAAGTCCCTCAAAGGGGACCGCACGCGAACACCCTCAGAGCGTGTCGACCGAGAATCCTGGCCTGTCTTCTGAGACACCTAGCCTTCCTGCACAACAGGGCGAGACGAGCTTTGAGCTTCGAGCTCGCACAGAAGCACCTGCGCAGAAATCAGTTCCCAGGTTCACCGTCGCGTCTGCAATATTGCCTCCAAGCTGGCCAAGCGCCGCGGCAAGGTCACGACCTAAGGGGTCTGTGGTCGTCTTGTGTCAGCCTACGTGCCGAAAACAACATTGGAGAGCAGCATCAGGGGATATGTTTTAAACACGCGCGCGTAGGGGGGGATAGCCCTCGGAAACTGTCAGAAACTCTACCCGACAATAAACAAGTATTATGGCACGCCTTCTAGTGCCGCTTGCTCGGTTGCGGATCGGCGCGTACGCTTTCCACGCATGTTCGCGTCTTAGAGCGATACACGTAGGTCATTCGGTGACTTCTATACTCGAGAACGCTTTCGCTGATTGTTCATCGTTAACCTCAACGCCAAATCTGAATAAGCTTGAAGTGTTGGAGGGAAATGTGTTCGCAAATTGCAGCTCGTTGGTTCACGTATTGATTCCTGCTGGGGCTACCGCAATTTACCAGGGTGCATTTTACAATTGCTCGTCTCTGCATACGCTGGAATGGGGCATTGAGCTGGATTGGGACAATCACTCGATGACGATCGGAAAATCTGCTTTCAGGCATTGCAGATCGCTCAGAAATCTGATCATCCCCGCCTCAGTGGTGTGGATAGATGGAGATGCTTTTCAAAACACCGGACTTGATGGGGCTACGATCTATCCGCGGGCCGATCGCATTATTGACGAGTCAGCATTCCCGCATGTCAGCGGCATCGTCATTGGATGCAACAATGGCTTCGAATTAACTCTCAACGGTTGTGCGTGCCCGAAGGGGACGATGGTCGTGGCAAACTCTAGCACATGCAGCCAATGCGTGCAGTATTTTGATTGTCCTGGCGGGCATTTTGCAAGCGAGATTGAACGCAGCATCGATACGACAGTCAGACTCACGGAGGGCTATATGACCCTTGAGGGTGATCCGTTTTCAGTTTACCAGTGTGTAGAGGCGATGCGTTGTGCCGGGAACCGCCAAATCTTAACCAACATGTGCACTGCAGGTTTCGATTCGGCGTCCGCACGGTGCGCAGCTTGCTTGCCTGGGAAGTATCTGGCTGATGACATTTGTAAGTCGTGCGAGGACGTGGCCGTGATATCCGTTATAGCCAGGTGGATCGTGGGTGTAGCAGTGCAGCTTCTAGTTTTCATGGCATTCTACATCAATGTCAATAGCCCCAGAACCTCAAATCAAGGGATGGTTGAGTCGCTGGTCGATTTGATCCAGATAGTTCAGACTTTGAGCCGCTTAGACATCATTACGCCAATCACGCTTCAAAAATTCTTTGACGCACTGAACATACTCAGCGTCCCAGGCTTCATCAAACAACTTGATTTCAAGCCTGAGTGTACTTTCGGCACCTTTGGCGGCAGTACCCTGTTTGATATAGTGCAACAGACATCGTTGCCGCTTGTTCTCTTTATGAACCTAGCTGTGATGCAGGTGTTGTTTGTCATGTACCAGCGGACTTTGAGGCGTAATTTTGTTCACAATTTGGTCTGCCTTGTCTTCGCTAACTTATTCGTTTCTTTGGTAACGCTTTCTCTTTCGTTGTTCTACACAGAGCGGATGCCCAATGGCAAGGACATGGTAATCGCATTTCCAGGGCTGGAGTACGGGAAAGGAGAGTGGAAGACGTATTTGCCGATCAATTTGTTTGCGACTTGCGTGTACGGGCTCAGCACCTATAGTTATGTCGCGTACACTGTGCTCACTGCGCCCAGGCGGGTTGGTACCGAACGCGGATTTCTTGAGCGGTACAGGTTCTGCTTCGGCACCAAGCGTCCGGACCGCTGGTGGTGGATCATGGTGAAGATGTCTTTTGGATTATCTCTGTGTCTCGTGCAGGTAATCCTTCCAGCCAGTAACGTGCAGTCTCATATTTACACCAGCGCATTGTTCATGTTTCTGATGACAGTAGTAATGTATGGTGCTTGGCCTTGGAAGTTTAACTCCAATAATTGGGTGGAGCTGATGTGCAAGATCGCGTTGATAATTCTGTTGATGCTAACCACCTCTTTCATTGACTTGCAGAGCGTCTCTGAGTCGGAGCGTGAGCAGATGAATGAGGTTTGGGCTCACATAATAATTGTCACTTTGACGGGTGCTTTCGCGTTTGCCCTTGTATTGTTTCTGAGGGACATCATCTCCTCAATGCAGCACATCCGTGTAAAGCAAGTCCGAAAAGCACGGGCCATGTGGCATCTTCGCGATATGTCGCTAGCGTTATTGATGATGCCAGAGAAAGAGTATGCGAGGAGGTTGTCTGCTATTGGTGACAGCGATCTGGCCCTGCTAGCGGAGGTGAACAAGAACATCAAGAACGTAATTTTCGGCCAGCAAGAGGATTCACGATGGATTAAGCAAAGGCTGATTGCCGGAAAGCCGCGCGAGGTGTGGGAACACGGCCAGAAAGTGCTTGAATTCCTTCGGAGTTCAAAGACCGGCCGCTTGCAAGAGAGATTGGAGCAGAGCATGGGGTTTCGCAGGCACGTGTTGAACCTAGCCAGGGCCATATCCAAATCGGGGTGGAAGGAGCGCGCTGACGCAATGGAATCAGAACATCCTTCAGCGTTTTTGGATGCAGTCGGGCACCGCAGCAGCATCAAGAGGCACCATGCCGCAATCCGGGACAGCATCGCGATGGAACCTTGCCTGGAGCCACGAAGCGGGATCATTGGGCGGGTGAAGAACAAGATCTTTCCGCAAGCAGAGCTACTGACACAGCACGAGTTCAAGAACAAGATCGCGAGCTTTGAAGGCCTGAGTATGCCCGATGAGGAAATCGATATTCTCTTCAGCGTCCTGGACAGTGACGGGTCGGGCACTGTTACTTACCAGAAGATCACGGATTTGCTTGCGGCTTTGGCACCTGAACAGGTGTTGCGCGCAATGGACCTTGACGATGAAGACGACAATGTGTCTGCCTCTGAGAGTTCGGGCGACGAGGAGAAGGAGGAGAAGGAGGACTGCCCCTCAGAAAGCGGGTTCGGCGGCAATGTGGCTTGGGGCTTGGCGGTCTTGCAAGAGTGGGCGCGGACGTGGCCGACCTCGTCGCCCCTGTCAGACGTGACAATCGGCAACGATCGGTCTGTAGAGGCGGATATCAAAGTCGAGCTCTGAATGGCCCGCGCACGTCACCATGATCGCACGATCCCCCTTGGGAATGGGGCTTTTAGTTCCCGACGCAGCCCAGTGATCCTTCTCCGTCTCTTCCGGATTCCCTTCTCCCTTCTCCCTCCTCCTGTTGTTGCTGATTTTTCCTCCCCTTTCCAGATAGGATGTGCGAGTGTCAGACCCGCTGCGCCGGTCTAAGCCAATCACCGATGAGTTGGAGTCCCGAAACGGTGCGGTGACAGACCGTGCGGTGACTTCGAAATCCCCCAAGACCTCACCCGCACGGTCCGTCAACGCACGGTTTTGGGACCTCGGATGCCCCAGTCGCCCGAGACGTCCTCGGAGAACGACCCGAGTCCCAAAACCGTGCGGTGACCCCGAATCCCCACCGATTGACCACCCCGTTTGTGGGCCCCCGGGATGAGGGCAGCGGGCGCTGCCCCGAAGCTTTGGACTGGCGTTTTTCCTGGTGCGCCTGCCTCTGTGCCAGGCCCGCTTCGTATCACCCTTGAGCTGGCCTAGGGGAGGAGAAGTAGCTGGACGAGGGGGAGGAGGAGGAGGAGGAGGAGGAGGAGGAGGAGGAGGAGAATCAGGAGGAGGAGGAGGAGGAGGACGAGGAGAAGAATCTGGAAGAGGACCAGGAGGAGAAGGAGGAGGAGGAGAAGAAGGAGGAGCAGGAGCAGGAGGGGCCGGAGGAGGAGGAGGAGGACCAGGAAGAGGAGGAGGAGGACCAGGAGGAGGATCAGGAGGAGGACGGAGAAAGAAGAGCAGGAGGAGAAGGAGGAGGAGGAGGAGCGGGAGCAGGAGGGGGAGCAGGAGGAGGAGAAGAAAGAGGAGGAGGGGCAGGAGGAGGAGGATGAGGAGGGAGGAGGAGGGGGCTGCTTCTCCCGCGCCCGCTCCCCGGTCAGCCGCGGCGGCGGGTCCGGACAGGGCCCGAGGCCCGGCTGCCGGCAATATTCCACGTGCAACCTGTGAAGGGACATGGCGCCTGCGTAGCCACGTCGTCTGCCGACGTGGAAGCCACGTCGTCCGTCGACGAGCCGAGGTGGCCCACAATTGTCGAAGAAGGAAAACTGCGTAAACATATACAGTCGGGGCGCCGAACAAGGAGCCTTTTTCGTTGGGGAGGGGCTCCGTGTTCCTCAATTGTCTGGCAGCTTGCCTTAGGTTGTCCTTAGGTCTTCGATGGGGAATCGAAGTTCAAATTCTGGAAAAAAGGGGCCTCGTTCCTTATTCAGGGTTCCTCAGGTCAACGCCCCGACTGTACTTTCGGAGCTCCGAGCGTTGATGTTAATTTCCCACATCCAGAGTGGGGCTTCTTGTTTTTTCTCTGGGCACCCCGCGCAGGAGCACACAGGAACACACACTCACTCACATTCACATGCACTCACACACAGACCATCTTGATCACCTTGACCATCACTCGATCACACACTCACTCACCCACTCACTCATCACCTGCATCATCCTCATCATCATTATCATCATCATCATCATCATCATCATCATCATCATCATCACTCATTCAATCAAATTTCTCACTCATTCACCCACCCACTCATTCGCTAGCTTGAATACGGGGGAAGTATCAGGCGGAAGCCTCGTCTGTGAGCGAATTGCGAGGAAGTCTCAGGTGGGAGCCCTCTCCCTATGGGGCCCGCATTTGTTTGTTTTTAATCCGGATAACTTTCGTCATTTTGGGGCTCCTGGGGCCTGAAAATGGAGTAAGTATCAGGCGGGGAGCCTCATGTGAGTGAACTGTGAGGAAGTCTCAGGCGGGAGCCCCCTCCTTATGGGGTCCGCGCTTCATGTTTTTCATCTGAGCGGGTCATCCTCAACCTTGTAACTGTCGCCATTTTTGGGCTCCTGAGGCCTGAATATGGGGGACACATCAGGCGGGGAGCCTCGTCTGTGAGTGAACTGTAAGGACATCTCAGGCGGGAGCTCCCTCCCTATGGGGCCCGCGCTTCATGTTTTTAATCTGATCGGGTCATCCTCAACCGTGCAACTGTCGTCACTTTTGGGCTCCCGAGGCCTGAGTATGGAGGATGTATCAGGCGGGAAGCCTCGAGTGTGAGTGAACCGTGAGGGAGTCTCAGGCAGGAGCCCCCTCCCTATGGGACCCGCGCTTCGTGTTTTTTATCTGAGCGGGTCATCCTCAACCTTATAACTGTCGTCAGTTTGGGGTTCCCGAGGCTTGAATATGGAGGAAATATCAGGCGGGGAGCCTCGTCTATGAGTGAACTGTGAGGAAGTCTCAGGCGGGAGCCCCCGGCCCGCATTTCATGTTTTTAATCTGAGCGGGTCATCCTCAAACTTGTGATTGTCGTCATTTTTGTGCTCCTGAGGCTTGAATATAAGGGAAGTATCAGGCGGGAGCTTCGTCTGTGAGTGAACTGTGAGGACATCTCTGGCGGGAGCCCCCTCCCTATGAGGTCCGCATTTCATGTTTCTACTCCGAGTGGGTCATCCTCAACCGTTCAACTGTCGTCACTTGTGGGCTCCTGAGGCTTGAGAACATGGGGGAAGTATCAGGCGGGAGCCTCGTCTGCGAGTGCATTGTAACTGTTGTTACTTTTGGGCTCCCGAGGCTTGAATATGGAAGGAGTATCAGTCGGGGAGCCTCGTGTGTGAGTGAACTGTGAGGAAGTCTCAGGCGGGAGCCCCTTCCTTATGGGGTCCGCATTTTATGTTTTTCCAAACCATCCTGTAGTGTTGGGTCCTCGTTTTGAAGAGACAGCGCCCCCGCGTTCCTTCCTCCTCCCGCTGCCCCCTATCATCGTCATCCTCATCATCCTCCTCATCATCATCATCATCATCATCATCATCATCATCATCATCATCATCATCATCATCATCATCCTCATCCTCATCCTCATCCTCATCCTCATCCTCATCATCGTCATCGTCATCGTCATCGTCATCATCATCATCACCCTCACGAGGATCGTGGCCCCATAGGAGCTCCACAGAAGGCGCCAGTTGCAAAGTGCGCATGGCGGCCTCGGGCCATTTCGGCACACCCCTCGCGAGGATCGTGGCCCCATAGAAGCTCCACCGAAGGCGCCAGTAGCAAAGTGCGCATGGAGGCCTCGGGCCATTTCGGCACACCCCTCACGAGGATCGTGGCCCCATAGGAGCTCCACCGAAGTAGCAAAGTGCGCAGCGGCATGGAGGCCTTCAGGCGAGGATCGTCCAGCTAGTAGCAAATGGCGGCCTCGGGCCATTTCGGCACACCCCCGAGGATCGTGGCCCCATAGCTCCACCGAAGGCGCCAGTAGCAAAGTGCGCATGGCGGCCTCGGGCCATTTCGGCACACCCCTCACGAGGATCGTGGCCCCATAGGAGCTCCACCGAAGGCGCCAGTAGCAAAGTGCGCATGGCGGCCTCGGGCCATTTCGGCACACCCCTCACGAGGATCGTGGCCCCATAGAGCTCCACCGAAGGCGCCAGTAGCAGTGCGCATGGCGGCCTCGGGCCATTTCGGCACACCCCTCACGAGGATCGTGGCCCCATAGAGCTCCACCGAAGGCGCCAGTAGCAAAGTCGCATGGCGGCCTCGGGCCATTTCGGCACACCCCTCACGAGGATCGTGGCCCCATAGGAGCTCCACCGAAGGCGCCAGTAGCAAAGTGCGCATGGCGGCCTCGGGCCATTTCGGCACACCCCTCACGAGGATCGTGGCCCCATAGGGAGCTCCACCGAAGGCGCCAGTAGCAAAGTGCGCATGGCGGCCTCGGGCCATTTCGGCACACCCCTCACGAGGATCGTGGCCCCATAGGAGCTCCACCGAAGGCGCCAGTAGCAAAGTGCGCATGGCGGCCTCGGGCCATTTCGGCACACCCCTCACGAGGATCGTGGCCCCAGAGGGAGCTCCACCGAAGGCGCCAATAGCAAAGTGCGCATGGCGGCCTCGGGCCATTTCGGCACACCCCTCACGAGGATCGTGGCCCCATAGGGAGCTCCACCGAAGGCCCCCAGTGGCAGGGTTCGCATGGCGGCCTCGGGCCATTTCGGCACACCCCTCACGAGGATCGTGGCCCCATAGGAGCTCCACCGAAGGCGCCAGTAGCAAAGTGCGCATGGCGGTTTCGGGCCAGTTCGGCACACCCCTCACGAGGATCGTGGCCCCATAGGAGCTCCACCGAAGGCGCCAATAGCAAAGTGCGCATGGCGGCCTCGGGCCATTTCGGCACACCCCTCACGAGGATCGTGGCCCCATAGGGAGCTCCACCGAACGCCAGTAGCAAAGTGCGCATGGCGGCCTCGGGCCATTTGGCACACCCCTCACGAGGATCGTGGCCCCATAGGAGCTCCACCGAAGGCGCCAGTAGCAAAGTACGCATGGCGGCCTCGGGCCATTTCGGCACACCCCTCACGAGGATCGTGGCCCCATAGGAGCTCCACCGAAGGCGCCAGTAGCAAAGTGCACATGGCGGCCTCGGGCCATTTCGGCACACCCCTCACGAGGATCGTGGCCCCATAGGAGCTCCACCGAAGGCGCCAGTAGCAAAGTGCACATGGCGGCCTCGGGCCATTTCGGCACACCCCTCACGAGGATCGTGGCCCCATAGGGAGCTCCACCGAAGGTCCCACTCGCAGGGTTCCCATGGCGGCCTCGGGTACTTTCGGCACACCTCTCATGAGGATCGTGGCTCCATAAAGAGCTCCATCGAAGGCGCCAGTAGCAAAGTGCGCATGGCGGCCTCGGGCCATTTCGGCACACCCCTCACGAGGATCGTGGCCCCATAGGGAGCTCCACCGAAGGCGCCAGTGGCAGGGTTCGCATGGCGGCCTCGGGCCATTTCGGCACACCCCTCACGAGGATCGTGGCCCCATAGGGAGCTCCACCGAAGGCCTTCGGCACACCCCTCACGAGGATCGCGGCCCCACAGGTAGCTCCACCGAAGGCCCCCAGTGGCAGGGGTGTCAATGGTGGCCCCGGGCCATTTCGGCACACCCCTCACGGGGATCGTGGCTCCATAGTTATGTTGTTTCAACAACCGCGCCTGGGCGTCGTACTCCGCCTTCTCGACGTGCACCGACACCTCCTCCTTCATGGCTCTCAAAGCCTTCTCCTGCTTCTGCTCCTCGGTCAGAGGGACGCCGTCCTTGTCGTCGTCGGCGCCCGCGAAGACGGCCACGATCGTGTTCCTGAACATGTCGGGCTCCAGCGGGAAGCGGTGGCCACATAGGGAGCGTTGGCGAAGATGTTATTCACAATTGCGGTATTTACAACTGCATATGGTTGGGTCCTTCGCCAGGTTAATTTATCCGAACGGGTCATCTTCGAACCTGTAACCGTCGTCATTTTGGGGCCCCTGAGGCTTGAATATGGGGGAGGTATCAGGCGGGAGCCTCGTCTGTGAGCGAACTGTCAGGACATCTCTGGCGGGAGCCCCCTCCCGATGGGGTCCGCACTTCATCCTTCTAATCCGAGCGGGTCATCCTCGGACTTGTAACCGTCGTCATTCTTGGGCTCCTGAGGCTTGAATATGCGGGAGGTATCAGGCGGGAGCCTCGTCTGTGAGTGAACTGTGAGG